CTTTGCTTTTAGTTCTCTAACAGAAGAAGAATCTAGAAAACAAATGTTGAGTTATGGTGCTAGTCAGCAATCCAGTGTGTTGGATCCCTATTCAAAGTCCATGTGCACTGACCAAAAAAGAAGTAGCTCCTTTGCTGTGGTTTCTGGTCTTCAGACGCAAGACAAGGCATGCATTTTAGCATGTGTAAATATTTACAAATACATATTTGTGTGTACAGGCAGACTTTGATTTTCGTGTCTCCATCAGCAGTTGGAAAACCATTGTTTTGAAGACTTGACTTTTAAAGATTATTAAGCGAGGTAGCATCCATGATGAATTTGTCTTCAGGGCTTCTCCTGGAAGGTGTTACCCTGTGTTGGTCACCTGTCTCTGGCTGTAAGAAGCTCGGAGCAGATCATTACTGTAATCCCAAAGCAGAAACTGAACAGTGTATTTTCAGATGTGTAATCCATGGGTTGTCTGTCAGAAAAAAATCAGTGGTTCAGCCGTAACGTGAGTTGTGTCTGTTCCGACAACCAGCGGGTCCTGATGGCTTTCCCCCATCTGCATCTCTCATCGTCTGATCCCTCTGCCCAGTGCCTCCCCCATCCCCTACCCTTCATTTTTTGCATGTTATGAAGGATTACATTTCAATGCCCATGTTCTGTAAAGGGTATGGGTTATCTGAGGTACAGGCTGTACGTGCAAAGAGACGATAGCTGTAGCACAGTAGATGGCCCAAGCTGGGTTGGCTGCGAAAGCGCTCTGCTTGTGGCTAATCTTTTGGTATTTTCAGCTGCGCGCCTAAGAGTAATCAGTCACGGGGGGCAGTAAGTTTGGGTTATTGCAGAGGTATTTCACGTAAGGAAATCTGTCCACCAGCCACAAGGGATAGATGCAGATTCTCCTGCAGAAGGAGAGGAGCCCTTGAGGTGCTCCAGGCCACACCAGGGAGTGGATGCTTGAGAAGTGCAAAGCACCTGTGCTTGCTCCCTTGTGCTATTTTTCCACGTTTTATCAGCATCAATTTGACGATCAATACCTTCATCCTCAGTGAATCAGGGTTTGTACCCGTGCATGTGAGAGCAGATCCTGGGCCTGGCCCAGTCTGGATCCTTTTTCCTCTTGCTTTCGGATCAGGCTGTAGCTGTTTGGCTGGACTCAGCCTAGTAGCACACTGTAAATGGGAGACTTGACTGCTGCTTTTTATTTATCTGTATTAAGTTCATCAGATGAAGCCAGAGCTTCCTGGGGCCATCCGAAGCTTCCTGGAGGGGGTACTCTCACAGGCAGATGTGGCTCCTGAAAGGCAGACATGTGTCTCCAGGAGGCAGACATATGCCTCAGACTTGGGTTGCTCCTTTTGGACTATGTGGTTGTAAGAGCATTTTCTTACAATATATTTCCTTGGGGGAATCAGATGGACTTAGATCTCGGATACCATCCCCACTAAGTGATACAGTAAAAATAACCTATTATTCTCCGGTTCTGACCTGGGCGGTGACAACATATTGTTTCAGCATCTCTGTCAGACTATTTCCCTTAAGAGATATTTTAACCTCACCCAGTGGGACATAACTAAAGGAAATGAAACTCCAACCCCATTAAGGAAAAAGACAATGCCTTTCACTAAACAAACTTGATTTTCTTGGCTTTTCTTCGCCAAGGAGAATCGCCTGTACCCCCCACCCTTGCAGCCTTTGTAGACAGTTCCTGTAATTGGGAATGGCTGGGTGGACACCAATGGTTGGCAGCAAAGGGGGATAAATCCGACATCCCTTGAACGTGACATGGGCTGGGACCACAGTCCCAGGTGGCCTCTTAACGTCAATTCCTATGGTACTGGTCGACAGTACGTGCCTGCCAGCCACAGCTGCCGGCCCTTGGAACACAATTGGGATTTTAGCAAGACTAGATAAGAGATACGCAGTAAAACTGGGCTGTTACCAGTTTTGTGCAGGGGTTGGACAGGTACTGTACTGTGCCCCACTAGCAAGAGCTGGTGACTTGCAACAGAGTTGTGGTGGTCCATCTCCTGGCACCCCAAAAAGCAAGCGTGACCCTTGAGGATTTGTCATTGGTGGGCTAAGGGAAAGATCAGGATCCCATCTTCACACTCCAGCTAAGGCTGAAACAAAGTTTACACTCAATAATTAGGTTTTCAAGCATGACCGTTCATTTGAGGTATCTTAAGACAAATTAAAAATCCCTTTTTAAAAGGCAGTCCCACAAAGTTATGAAGTAGGAGCTGAAAAGGCACTGTTTCACACTTTGTGTGCAGCTCATTAGGACAAACCACGGGGTGATCATCTTGTCCCAGGGAGAGCTAGAGTTTACAGAATCCAATCCATTGGTCAGGCTTGCAAACTCTGGTTAGAACTGAGTAACACCTGGGTCAAAGTAAATCTGCAGGCAAAAAGATTAGAGCTGGCAGAAAAACAAAGAACTCTGTGTCGCAAGATGAAAGTAGATTGCAAAAAATTGTGATCCTGGAAGAGTTTTTAATCTCGGAGGTGGCTAATGTCTGTAGGTCCCCTCATTTTTTTTGACATAAAGGTAGCCCGTGTGCCCAGTGTTCTGTTTCGGGGTATTTCTAGTATCAGTCCCCACGGGGAGCAGTTATGTTCCTATTTCAAAACCTTAAGCCTGCGGGGATCTCCAAATCCATACATCTCTGTGCCCTGTTAAGCAGGTTAATGGCTGTCCCAGCAGTTCACCAAAAAATGGTCTGAAAAACAAGAGTGTACCCTAAATACTGAGTTACTCTCTTGCACACTTTCTTCCCCTGTTGATGAGTGTTTCAGTAATAACCCCTGTGTACAACAGCTTCCATGAGAGACAGCCCGAATGCCCTCCATTCCTCAGCCCAGAATAGCCTGTTGCCTGATGGTTATGACATTCTCCAGCAAGATGAAAGATAGGGATTCAAGCAGCACAAATAGCTAAAGAAAGTGAAGTTGGGCGTTCTCCATGCCTGGTTGCTGCTGCAGTGAGAACAGGACATCAGCCACCTTGTAGGTACCTGTTGGAAGAAAAGTTTTTTTTTTTTTTTTTTTTTTTTTTCTTTCTCCCTCAAGAGATGACTCCAGGGGATGATGCAGGGTGGTACCTGTTTGGGGCTTGGAGGGAGATACAGATGTCCTGGGGAGGTTAGGACTACTGCGAATCCCTCTTGGAGGCACCCCCATTAATCTCCGTGCATGGTACTAGGAACACAAGTTAGCTATTGTGATTAGTTCCCCAAAGCAACTAGGTGCCTAAAGGCTGTCGTAGAGCTGGCTCTATCGTTTTTATTCAGTTACTACACTACTTTTTCCCATACCAAGTCTCTAACAGCAATCAGTAGGAGATATTGTAGGGGAATATGTGTCCTGCCCTCACACCCATACAGTGGGTGGCGATGACCCATCACCCTGTGATTAACTTTCTCCTTCTATGAGCTCTCTCTGCTGTTGGTCAGGAGTATTGCAGTTGCTCCTGTCACCTCTGTGCAGCCAGCAGTGGCCTTTTTCAAAAAACGGTAGAAAGTCATAACGGTTAGCATTGTGTAGATTAAAGTCCCTTTTTAGATCAAGGCCTGATAGGCGACTGCTGTCGCAATAGCTGCTTTGCAGAGGCCACCAGTATGTCAGCAGGGCGAATACCCGAGCTGCTGTGGTTGGCAAAACTGTTAGCCTTCTGAAACTTTCCGTGGTGGATGGAAAGATTTACGGGTACAGTGATGCATATCTATCTCAAAATCATGTTCGAATTAAAAACTTCCTGCAGAGCTAATGTCAACTCAGGTTTCAGGTCACTGCCACAAGCTGTATCAGGTTAGGGATCAAAACCAGCAAGCAGCTACAAGGGAAGCTTGCAGCTATCAAATGGGATAATCTGTAGCCTGATTTTTTTACGACTGTGCACCAGTAATGACATGTACAAGCAGAGAATGGTTGTGGTCTGGAATAAACTTGCTGGTTCGCCTGGTTCTGGTGAAAATTTCATGTGCTTTTCAGTCTCAAAACACCATGCAAAAATAACCAGTCAGATCCAGCTAAAGTCACTTGGGTTATGTGGGGAATGAATTGGCCTCATATGCTGGAGATCTGAGTTAACATAAAAGCTACAAGTTGTTCCTAAATTGTTTTCATTAGCAAACCCTGGATAAAAAGGCACTTTATGTTAGAGTAAGTCTTTGTGATACTGTTTTTTTGAACATCATAAATGATATATATAATTTATAAAACCAGCTATGGTTTAATATGCTTTGGGTTTTGCATCAGGTGACTCATGCCATCGACTTTTTAATTAACGAAGAAGCCATCATTCTGGGCAAACTGTTCAATTGCATAGGTGCATATAAGACAATAATTGAATATAAAGGTTTATTTTTGTCCCTTTATTGATGTCGAGGGAAAAGAGTGCAGTTATGAAAATGGAATAAACTGAAAAGATTCCTTCAGTTCCTGCAGGTTGATTAGAACAGATGACTTTCCATTCCAGTTTTTATGAATGTGTAGTTTTCTGAGAGCTTTATAATACTTCAGGGAAAGGAAATTGCAGGCAATAAATGATACAGGATGATTCAGGTTATTGGGAGATAGAGGAATAGGTTTTATCTGGAAAGGTGAGATTTACTGTTCTGCTGTATTTCACTTAAATGTTTGGGAAGGAATCAGATGCAGTGATTTGTATCTTATTATGGGCATGGAAACAGCACGAGATACTTGCTCAGTAACACCATTTGCTGATGCATTGTGCAGTCCTTACACACCTTGTGCCTGCAGGCAGCAGGTAGGCAGCGCTGTCAAAGCTTCGCTATCCCCTACGTGGCATTGCCCGCAGAGAGGTGACTGCAGAGTCCGGGGTGGTTTGGCTCTCCTGGTCAGTGAAGGTAGATGTATTTTCATAGCTCAGCTTGATAAACAGCACTGATTTTTATGGAGTGTATTTGCTTAAACAGTTGTTGCAGTGTTAGAGAGCTCTACCAGTAAAGACTGTTTAATAAACCCAGGATAATTTCTTTTTTTCTATGTAGAAAGCAGAAATATGGCAACAAAGGAAAAGCTTCAGTGCTTGAAAGATTTCCACAAGGACATCCTCAAACCTTCCCCCGGCAAGAGCCCGGGGACACGGCCTGAGGATGAGGCAGAAGGAAAGCCGCCCCAGCGGGAGAAGTGGGCGAGCAAGATTGACTTTCTGCTGTCCGTGGCTGGTGGATTTATTGGTTTAGGCAATGTCTGGCGGTTTCCGTATCTCTGCTACAAAAATGGCGGAGGTGAGTATTTCTTTATTTCATTCTCATGAATCAATCTGTCTGCCTTATGCTTACTCTTTTTCAGTGCCTTCATCCGATTTTTGAAAAGAATAATCAGACATCTGTTTTCTGCCTTCCTCACCAGTCTTTGGGAGAGATTTATTACTTTATTTTGTGTTATTTTTAATTTTTTTTTGTTAAAACTTAGTTATGAAAAAACAACAGCAATTTAAAATTTTATATTAATGAACCTTTTCTGCTCTTTTACTTCTGCTACAATTGAGTCTGAGTTTTAACCATAAGGTACACTGTTAATATAGACTAGTAGGATTTCAGATGAGTGGATTTCAGAACAAGAGCATTCTGAGCCATGTGAAACTGTTGTGTACATAACCCCATTGTTATTGCAGATTTTCATTTTAAAAAGGTAAGAAAATGCCCTTTCCATCTTAATATACCCATTCCACTTGCAGAGTTTGAGTATGAGCAAAAATACTCCAGAATAAGATTATTGTATACTGATATTAAAGTAGCAAATATGTTTCTTTGTTTATATATTTCTGTTAACACTTTTTAGACTATCTTGTGTAAAGTCACCCACTTAATCTCAATTCTGTGCTATGGTATTTTCTCAACAGGTGCATTTCTTATACCTTATTTCATTTTCCTGTTTGGGGGAGGTCTTCCCGTGTTTTTCCTGGAGGTGGTGCTAGGACAGTATACCTCTGAAGGTGGAATTACATGCTGGGAAAAGATCTGCCCTATTTTCACTGGTTAGTACATCTTGTTGTGCTTTACTGCTTCAAGACACCTCTGTAAACCATATGCAGCAACACTGTTCCCCTCATGTCCATTAATTCAGCTATTTGTTGTAGTAATTGAGGTATGATATTGGTTCCTGGAAAGGTAGAAGTCAGAGAGTCTGAAGGACAAAGAAAGGTATTGATTTTGATGCTATCATCTTGTTAACTGGCAAAACTGCTGATAAGCAGGAAAGAAATTGCATATTACACCTTAGAAAGGCGATTGCACATTTTGTTCACAGGTATCAGAGAAAGTCTTGTTTCAGAAGGCTAGATGGCCTTACTGAAAGCCTCTTTAAATTATTATTCTGGTCTGGAAGTCAAAGTCCTTCTGCCATATGAAAGCTTATCATTGGCATCATCTGTCTGTTACTGACACAGCCAAAACCTGGACAGCATTTTTGGGTAGGATTCAGGAACAGGACTTTTGTCATAACTGAGCAGGTCCTGGCAACCAGGCATGATGGTCTGATGTTCTTGAAGGGCCTTTGCTGGTGAGTGAAGAATCACTCACTGCTCAAATGAATTATACAAATGTTGCTCTGGAAGTGAATTAAGATGAAAAAGGAAAAGCCAGGTTAGCAAAATTACCAAGGATGCCCATCTTTGTGAATAAATTACCCTTTACAGCGGGACAGCACTGGCAGAGTCGTTTGGAATAATTGCACTAAACAGAGCAGCACTCTTCAAATCCCATTTGGAAAGAGTGGGCACTTCACACTGACGTGTCTCTAGCTCTGCCACTGTTGCTGTTCCAGGCATTTCTCTTCCCTTATGTCACCCCAAGCAGAAGTGGGGGCTTTCTCCCTGGCTCACACTCCCACCTAATACTCTGAACACAGCTGAAGTTGATGTAATTGTGCTGTTTTAGCTCCATTTTCTTCCTCCTCCTCCCACTTTTATGAAGTCTTTTTTTTTTTTTTTTTTTTAGGAGGAGGAGGAAGGAACATTCCTTGTTTAAATAGCAATCTCCCAGGCATCCATAAAGAGAAATTGTAGCTCTAATAATGTGACGAGCTGTGTATCCAGAATGAAATGCAGCTGTACAGAATAAATAATAGTTGCTGTGCTTGTTTTCACCTGGTATAAAAATAATCTCTGGTGGTAAAGACTCCTGCTGCAATAAGGTTTGAAATTGTAAAATATGAGGCAGGTATCCCAGGTGCTAGGGTAGCCAGCAGAGTGATGTTAAAGGGAACCTTGTAGGCTTTTCTTCCTCATGTAAGAATTTGCTCTAAGTTTTTAAAGGAAATATCTTTTTTTTTTTCCCCCCTGTTATTCCTAAATGACAACTTTGGAAGCTTTTTGGAGCTAAAAGATTTTCAGTAGATGAGGGTTTTCAGAGTCCTTTCATCTAAAAAAATAGTGACTGCTTCTGACTTAAGATGTAATATAAATCTGCCAGTAGAGCTAAACTGCCGAGCTAGGAGAGAGATACCAGACTCAGGAGAACAGCTGTGTATTTTAATTAAAGCCTGCACCAGAACAGCATTCTGCCACCTCCCGAAGTCATGTAGGACTCACCCTTATCTGCCCATGACCCTGCTTTTAAAAACAAACAGGGAACATTTTTTATCGTCAAATATTGATAGCAGAGTTAAACATTGATCTAATTAACCATAACAGCTACAAAAAAAATATCATGCTTCCTTTGAACAAGTGAAATTGGGGCAGAAACAGCAGCTTTGTTATTGACAGCTTTGGAATTTTCCTTTTTGACTTACTCAATTTTTTTTTTTTTTTTTTTTTTTTTTGCACAATAGGCTGAGCCGAGCCAGTCGCTGAGTGGTGCAGGGGCTGCCCAGCCGAGCTGCCTCCGAGGAAGCTGGCTTGGGGGACAGTGTGACAAGAATGAGGTTGCCCACGTAGGTGCTTAAGAAGTGAGGTGGTGTAGCTCCCAAATAAGCAAAGCATGATGCCTTGACTTCCTTCTACTAAAACTTGAAATAGCTGGGTTAGTGTTAAATTGGGTAGTACCATGCTGCAGACCTCCCCTCCAATGTCAGCAAACCCCAACCAGAAACTCAGCCCTGAGTGCCAGCTCTGTAGAGATGGTGGCAGGTCTGTGCTTATGTCAGATTGAGTTGAGTTGCACTGAGTTTCCATAAACAGTGTGGTAGAGCAGGATATGAGTCCACAACGCAGTGGGAATAGCACCAGCTCCACGAGATCACAAGGCGCCCTAGCAAGAGGCGTGTGTCACACCTGCATGTGTTTTTTTTCTCTCCCTCTCCCGTCAGGAATTGGTTATGCTTCCATAGTGATTGTGTCCCTTCTGAATGTGTACTACATCGTGATCCTGGCCTGGGGACTCTACTACCTGTTCCAGTCATTCCAGAGCGTCCTGCCGTGGGCACACTGCCACCAGAAGTGGAACACGCCGACCTGCGTGGAAGACACTCTCAGGAAGAACAAAACACTCTGGATATCACTGAATGCCACTAACTTCACCTCTCCTGTCACGGAGTTCTGGGAGTAAGTACACCCTCTTCCTGGTGTCTTTGGGACATTTCAGTGGCATGCCAGAGATCAGGCCTGGGATTTTATGGAAGCCCTGTGGGTAATGTTACATAGGAAAAGAGCATTACTTTGGGTGTCAGTTGTTTGACCTGTGTTTGCTACCGGTTCTCACCCATCTTGAGACAGACTGGGAAGTCTGGGAGTGGTGGAGGAAGGTGTTAGATATGTAACTGCGTTCATCCTAGAGCTTACAGGGAGCCCAGCACAACTTCTGGTTTGGAAGAAAACTTGTTTCCTTCTTGGTTGGGATTCTCTGAATGCAGCATGAGAAAAGAAGTAATTTCAGATGCTGTGACAGCAGGGATTTAGAGTGGAAACAGTGACAAATCACCACCTTTGTGGTTGCTTCTCCCTCTTCCCCAGCTGTTAACATTTCCAGTACACTCTGTGAAGTTATAACACATCTCTTATCAGTCTGACAATGAGACAAGGCATTGACCTCAGCAATAAAACTGACAGAGGTGGTGGACGTTGTCCTGTACTCTGGGTTTCTCAGGTCATCTTTGTTACATCATTTTTCTCTGCAGTCCCTAAGGAGACTGCTTTGCCAGATGCCTTCATTTCATCAGGCCTAAACTCTTTATTCCCATTTCTCTCTTATTTTTCAAGTTGTAAATTATATTGCATAACCTGATTTCTGAACAGGTATGACCTCAAATCTCTGTGTGTTTATACAGGCATCAAAACATAGCAGCAGGGGAAGACACCTGTAGGGAAACTTAAATCCAAAGGATCTACAAGTAGCATAGGAAGAAATTTTTTTTTTTTTTGTTTGCTCAGATGGTCACTTAACAGTAGAAATAGTTTCTGGCCCAGCTTGGCTTTTTCAGCATGTTTAAAGTCCAGATTGGTCCCTGATCAACTTGTACCTATTTCTCTATTTTTTAAAAAGAAGCATCAGCCAATAGTCCCTGCAGAAAGGATGTTCATGCTTGAAGATATTTGGCATGTGTTAGGTTTATATAAAAAAAGAAAATTATTAATTTGTTACACAAGAGCCAAAATACAAAGGGCAGACTGGATCTATAATGAATGATTTGTCAAAAGGCACCAGTGACCAGTGTGAGAGGGGGGTGCAGGCTGTAGGAGCAGTCCTTTTCTCCTTTTCACTGTGCCATGAGCACTGCATTTCCATGCTGAGTGGCAGATACTTTTCCAGGTGACTTCCTCCCATGTAAATATGGAGAGAGTTGGAAAAAATTTGTTAAATGATACCTTTGGATATTTTAGGGGAATTTAGATGCAAATTGTAGTAGAATAGGAAGCAACTGTCACTCCTTTGGATTCTCCCACCATGCCTTTGTGACTGAGGACCTTGAAGCCAAATGAGTGGCTGGCTTGGTAGGATGTTCAAAGGTCTCCTCAAGGCCTCCCTAAGAAGCATGAGTCCACAGTGCTGCCCCTGAAATGGAGTTGCTCTCCCAGAACTTCAAAAGCACTGTGTTGATCATCAGTTTTGTGCAGTAATTTTGCTCGCAGGTCCTCTTGGACCTGGGATCAGCCGTGGGCTTAGCAGCCTCCTGATGTGTCCATGGGGTTGTCTTCCTGCTCCAGAAGCTTCTGCTCCTGTAATGCGCAGATTTATGGGCCAAGTTGTCTCCCTGCAGCCCCAGGTGGCATGTCCACTTCAGGGGACTGAAGATGCCATAGCAAAAGAGAATAGGTCTGGGGATTGGAAAAGGGGTTGTAAAAGAAATAGTGGGGGCTCCAGGACCTCGGGGGACACCAGAGCTTTCTGTGTAACAACACAGCGGGTATGTGGTCAAGGGTCTTATGGCAGGGAGCCTGTCCCCATGGGAGCACATTACGGGTGAAGCTTTTAGTTAACTTTCCTCTAAAAGAAAACAAGTTTTTGTCCTCAGAACTCCCCTGCAAGCTGAACCAAATCCTCCCGTAGACACAGCCCAACAGATGTAGTCAGGCTGGAAGTGCCTGAGGCTGGAGGACAAATCCTTGATCCTCACAGCACTTTCCCCTTCCCTCTGTCTTGCCCTCTCTCTTTCTGTAGCACAGCTGGATGGAGCAAAGGTTGCTCAGTGATCAGTGCTCGTGTGGGCAACTCTCTTGCGTTTTGCAGGCACTTTAACTTTTGTCCTCATATAACAGTTTTAACCGTGATGAAATGAACTCTTCCCTGGAGTCATGCTAGGGAGGAGTTTGGCTCCGTAATCCTACTAGTACAGACATACTGTCCATAGCTCACTGTTTCATCATGAGTGAAACTGCCCTTAACGGAGCAAGCTGCCTTCGGGACTCATGGCACTTACAGAAGTATTAAAAATAGCTGTTCTCTCTGCATCAACAGCTATTGGTGTCTTAAAGTAAGAACAGAGATCATGCAGAACTGTTGTAATTAAAGTTGCATAGCTTTCACACGGTGCAGGCACTTAGTATCCCCAGGTTTTCCCCAGCTGTGCTACTATTCTTTACAGTTCTTAAATTAAAAATAATTTGAAGATATTTTAGGTACTTTGCCATCATAGACAATGCCAGCTGCCAGCCAGGCAGCTACCCACATCGAAAGGACAGGTCAATAAATAGTCTTTAACTGAAGATATCCATCTGCTTTGTGGCACAGTTAATTCAGGGGTTTGTGAGTATTTGGTTTCTGAAACCCAATGCCATTTTTATTGTGGGACATTTATGTCGTGTCCTCATCAGTACTGCTTTGTAAAACTAATGCTGCCCAGATACAATTGACCACGCTGATGCATTAACCTCTTCGTGTTGAATAACACGTGTCCTTCTGAGCCTGGCTGGACATATAGTACAGCCTGACATTTCAGTTCATTTGAATTAATGTTCTGTGCAAATCACATGCTTGCTTGAGCAGCAATAAAAGGGGGTTAAGCAAATCTGGCTTTGTATCAGGAGACTTACCTCTTGGTATTATCACATGCTTCGTGTCTTAGTTCTAAAGATTTTATTTTGAGGTCCAAAACCTTAAAGGCTTACACATGTATTAATACATAAGGGATAAGTGTTATGGGATAATTATGGTTGAACAAAACCTCTGATTGTCTGGTGCTGGCCAAGTGTTTATAAATATTTGGTAATCAGCAGACTTTATTCGTTCAAATCCCAAGAAAGACCATCACATGCTGATGGCATGTAATCCCAAAGGGAGCAACACAAAAACTAAACAAAATCTAGGGCAGCTGTCTCTGCCTTAGGGGCAAACTTGAGTTTTAAAAATTGTTTCATATTCTCCTTCTAATATTCTGGTACAACTGATTCAGTGTTAGTTATTCTTGTCCATCCAACACGAAAGGGTGCTTCGCCTTTCCTGGTACAAAAGGTCCTGTCTGCATTCGCTTGATTAATGAGCTGGAATATCCTTCAGGGATTGCATAACTCTCCTAATTTTATTTTTGTTTATGTTCTACAGCCAGTTAAAGCTCCTATTACATTTCCATATTGCACATCACTAGAACATATTAGTGTATCAACAAGGTTCAAGAACTCATGTTTACAACAAATGGCCCCAGCCTGTTGTCCCATTGATTATATATGATTGACAGTTAACGACAGCATCAAGGCTATAAATTAGAATTAGTAACAGCTTCGTATATAAATGCCATGACGTTAGTTGAGCGGGCTTGCCTGAATCTAAGCAGCAGTGTGTTGTGTAACAAAACTGCAGAGCTACCAGCATAGCCTGGCTTGTGCTCCTTCCTGAACTTGAATTTTCAGGGTATCCCATATCCAGGTTGAGTCCTTCTGCGGCAAAAATGAGTTGGTTTAGATTTCATGAAACAATTGTAACGCTGAGGGTCCCCTGGTAATTCTGAGTGGATTCCTCGAGGTAGTTGGTCTTCGTGAGATGAGATAATGCAGGACAGAGAAAGCCAGCACATCACTTAGTGCACTTGCTGCCTCACCACAGCAAAGTAACATGTCTGGCTCCATAACCCACTGGGGTGCCCTCCAAAAAAGCTTGAAAGCATTGCTGGGACAAACTCTAGGTGAGGTGACCACTTGCTTTTAGTTCCCTAATAAAAAGCGAAGAAGTTGTAACTGAATGCATTAATAGAGCTCCCTGTTCCAATAAGCATTTGCAGTTAATTATTCATGGCTTCCTGAGAGCTGCCTCTATAGGTTACCTTTCTAATATGAACTGCCCCTTAGACTGGAAAATTGCCATTTATTTTTAAAAAAGCCACAGAAGGTTGCAGCTGAACTTTGTCACCTTATAAATATATTTTCTTCTTTTGTATACGCACAGCAGGTTTCCCCCCGGTTTCTTTAGGCTCAGGTGAACCAGGACTGCAACTTTAGGCCAAATATTCATTACCGAGGGGTTTCTTGTCACTGTTCAATAGCTGTGCTGATTAGGGCAGACTTATCCTGTCTGGTGCCATTAGTCCTTTTCCATAACAAAATACACACATGTTCGGAGAGAATAAAACATTTGGTGTGAGAACACATTCACACAGGTAATCCAAGTGAATTTGGCAAACACAGACACAAAAACAGATGGGTGAGGGTTTGAGTCCTATTAAACTAGCCGACCCCGTTTTTTTTTTTCCAAAAACTAATTGCAGATTTTTCATCGGTGACTTCATTTGCTATTATTTCCATGGTAATAGCAAAAAAAAAAAAAAAAGAAAAAAAAAGTTTAATTAATTCAGAGGAAAAACAAACCACAGTGGTTTGTCTTGTACTGGATCCACACGCAAAGCTGTGCTCGCCACACTGGGCCTGACCCTGGTACAGCACCCAGACTGCTGTGGGCTCAGCTCTCCACAACTTAGGTGAAGGAAAGTGGCTGATTTTTATAGCTGTCTGAAAATAAAATTTAATTAACAATTTGTTAGGTAGCAAGGTCATTTCTCTCATCTTGGGGTAAGGCATTTCTGTTGTAATTGAGGTCAAGCTTCTCCTTGACTTCAAAAAACCTTGCAGAAACTCTTCAGAGTTTAATAGGTTTGTTTGCAGAGTTTTAGCTGAGCGAACAGTAAGAAACAGTTTGTTCTTTCATACATATTTGACAAATGAAGTAAGTATCGGGTATGACAAGGTCTTGTCCAGTGTGTGAGGACAGTGTATGTTGCACAAAAGTAAAAAAAAAATTAGTTTTAAATCAGTATTTAACAGTGCCCCATGGCTATTACCAAAAGAGAGAAACCTTAATGAATTTTCACCCTCGGGAACAGAGGATTTTGATGGCCAGATGTTGCTTCCTTAAGACCCAGCTTAGGAATTTCTTTTTATTTAACCTAAGTGACAGAAGAAGTTTACCAACTATCTCGAGTTAGCTAAACAAGACCGTGCTGAGGGCAGACAGCAGCACGCCCAGGCACTGTCAGGGGGGACTGAGGGGGGAGAGCCGCTAATCCAGCCTTCGCCCCGCAAAGCCGCACAGCGTGATAGCTCCCAGCGTTGCTTTTTCCCTTCCCTTCTTGGGACAGTTTTTGCTAATGAACTGAAAAGGAGGAGAAACACATGGACGCAGGCCCGTTGCAAGTGTCTGTGATGGAGACATCATGTGCAACGCTGCCATGTGGCTTCAGAGCCAGGGCTCGTGGCAGTGCCAGAGCGAGCTGGGCTTGCATCTTCAAGGGAGCAAATGTGAAAGCCACAGTGCTCTGAGTAACATATATAAAATACAGCTCTTTTGTTCTTTCTTACCTCGTGTTGAGGTGGTCACTGGCTGCTAAAAAGAGCTTAAAATTAAATGCTGTGCAATCTATTAACAAAAGTGTACCACAGGCCTAGGTGTAGGGCTGCAAAGCTCAGCTTTCCTCACATAAGCCATGCTGACTTAGCAAGCAGCGTTCAAAGGGCAGGGATCTGCTGCCCTACACACCATCTCAGATCCTCACATCACACATACTCTCAGCCATCGCAACCAGATTCTGCATCAACTGAGCTCCTGCACCTCTCTCTTGTTTTGTTTCCTTTGAAATATTCAGGCGCAATGTGCTGAGCTTGTCCTCAGGAATTGAAGATATTGGTATTATCAAGTGGGATCTAGCACTGTGTCTTCTCCTCGTCTGGGTGATATGTTTCTTCTGCATTTGGAAAGGAGTTAAATCCACTGGGAAAGTAAGTGCTCTTTACCCTTTTTATAATCATTGCAGTTAACAGATGTTAGCAATACTAAGTAATGCTTTGTTAAGGTATTCACCATTTCCTGAAAAAAAAAAAAAAAGACCTATTTTTCCACTGAATAAAAGAGGGATTCAGATTCAACTGACTTTCAGAAGTCATTGCCGGTGCCCAAAATGCTTGTGAGTCAAGTATTCAATTAGAATGGTACCAAGAAGCAGATACAAGCACGGTTTGAGTACTGCTTTGCCTCTCTGAGGACGAGCATCCCGCTGATGCATGTCATGAGCGTGGAAGGTCTTGGGCTCATGATGTGTGGTGCTCTCTGCTCCCCGTCGGTGCTCTCACACCAGCCGAGTTCATTCTCAGTGCAGCGGGGTGGATGTTAACATAGTTGTGGTAGGGATGTTTTAAGTCAGTGGGAACTGGTGGATGCATAGCATTTTTGAAATGCCGTTCACTTACAGAAGAGCTCTGTGTAGACACCGAAGACTAAACTTGGGTACTCATTTAGAAGCACTGTCCTTAACAGAGATCCTGGATAGTTTGAGGTTTTAGTCTCATCGTGTGCTCTTCAGAATCATGTTTTTCTCTAAAGGACAACAGTTAAATCATTCCTGAACCTCACCCTACTCCTGTGCAAGAAACAAATTACAGCAAATCTTGGCCAATCACTTAACAACATAAAGCATATTATTGCACCTTGCATACAGTAGTGTTTTTAAACCTATTTTCATGAGAAAAGGCTTTTGAAGCCATTGCATATGTGTGGCTCTTAGCTGTTGGTTGAGGCGGCATTTCAGGTAAGTCTAACCAGAGGCAGAGAGATCTCCAGATAATAAGTTCCCACACGTTCCTTGTCAGCTAGGTGGAGGGAGCAATCTCATTAGTGTCCCACCTGATTAAAAAACCACAGCATGAACCCATCTTTTATCAGCCCTCAGAGATGTCAGGAAGAATGAGCAATTGCAAATGCCTCAACTGCAGAAAAAGCATCATTTAGCAGTTTTACCTTGTTACACACTGCAGAATCAACCAGGAGACAAAACTCCATAGGAAACCAGACCTCATTAGTTCCACTGTTGACTAAACTACTCGCTCTACTGTCGTTTCTGTCTTGCTTTCTGTGATTTTTATCATGGAGCCTCATTAAAATCATGCTGGTGCCTTACCCTGGCTTCTGGCCAGCTTTGCCCCAAAGAACAGCTTCCACACCTCTAAAGTACACCTTGACAAAAAATGTTTGCTTCTCAGTTCCCTCTGATTGATGTGACCCAGTGAGGTGATTGTGTAAGTTTTATAGTAAAGGTGAACGCAGTAAATCTCCCGCAGTAGCCAAGTGGAAGCACACATTTCTGCAGAACCTTTGGCGAGCCTGGTTTCTGCTCAGTGCAGGTTATGGCAGCACTGAGAGATTATTCCGAGCTCCCAATAGTACATCATTTCAAGCCTGCGTGAAGGTAACAGATTGAAAACACGTCTGTTAAAATCAGTTATCTAAAAACTTGTGTTTTCTGGAAAGCCAGCAAAATGGCCTCATTTCTAAGACAAGACGGTTGGTAGGAATTTGCAGCCTCCTCTCTGCAGCGTCTGAACTCGTGCGGGTGTAGAGCCAAAGCCCATCAAAACCATTGGAAAGTCTCTGGTTGACTCCATTAACTTTGGGGTCAAACAAAAGTAAACTGTAAACTCTAATGGAGGGCTTGAATTATGTGAGAAGGCTAGTTTACTTTAGCAGATGGTTGTTTATAGCACTTCCCTGCTTTCCAGTGTGTTAATGGCTCTTTGGAAAGTGGAAAAAAAAAAAAACAAAAAAAAACCCCACATCGTTTTTAAATCTCATAGTAGCATTTTGGACAAATAAACATGAAATCATGAGAAAAAATAATAGTTGTGCTTATGCTTTGGATAATCTGCTTGATCTTAAAAATTCCTCCAGTGTTACGAGAGAATCTTTACCTGCAGCACATAGTCCACTTTCTGACTGTTTATTCAGTTCTGCAAATACACCAAGGCATATATTTTTCTTGTCAGAAAACTTCAATTTTTCATAGGCCTGGCTTATATTAAAAAAATAAGAAATCGCAGAAATCCCCCTTTTACCCTTCTGGTTTTGGTGAAACTGGGCTAATGTGTAGTATATATTATTTGTCAGTGGAAAATATACAGATAATTCAAGGAGAGAATTAAAAAGGACATGTATGAAAAGATTTCCTTTTCATTTTATGAAATCAGTCCAGCTCTGTGAATTATTATGGCAATGCAGGCTTTGAGTTCTCGTCATTATTCTCGGAGGACACACTTAAGAAGAAAAATGGTGCATCCCACGAGCTTTGCTGTAGTTAAACAAATTCTGGAAAACAAAAATACATTTTAACTCATGGCAGCAAACTGTAATTACCTGGGGGGATCATCTGACTCCATGAAAAATGCCCTGTCTTGGACAGTAGTGATTCTTGACTGTAACACAGTGGTTATATAAAAAATGAGAGAAAGCACAGATGAGCAAAGAAAACAAAATGTTAGAGGTCAAAAAGCGTTGGTCTAAAGATAGAACTGTCAAATGCAAGCTCAATTAACCCTCGCACTGGAGATTAAAGCAAAGAGCTCTTTCATCAAATGAATGAGAAGATAACAAGAAGCAGGCTGTTATTAAAAGGGAGTGGGAATAGAGGTTAAAGATAATGAAGACATATTCTCAAACTGGATGAATAGAGCCTTAGTTTCCAATAATGATGTTGCTGAATAGGCAGCAAGGGCACGAATGAAGTTATGGGACTGGAAATTACCACTGTTGAGGCTGATGCCAACCTGAAGGGCTTCATGCATTCGAGGTGATGGGAAGGGGAGACACAGGAGCATGGACTGAATTATCTTCGTCTCTGAAAGAAGTGCCTTGTGAAGTTGCCTGCAGAAGCAGTAGTGAGGCTGCACAGCAAGATCAGAGGTAGCAGCAGAGCTTGCAAAACAGTTTGCAAAATAAAGAATGAGGTAATGCTTCAGGCGCCCTCAGTGAGGAAATCTCTTCAGCTTCCCTGTCAGAGGTGCACTTGTCATCTGAGGACAAACAGGGCAAAGGCAGAATTTCTAATGAAAGTCATGAGTCATGTAAAATCCTGCGTGTTCTCTGCCTGAGTGACATGGGCACTGTCTCTGGGATTCTGGAGGAATTAACGAACCTGCACTGCCTCCAGGCCTGAAGCAATAAGGTGGTAAAGACCATTAAACTCAAAGTAGACACAGAAACTCGGATCCAGTCCTTGTTAGGTATGAGGAGGCTTTGAATTCCCACTGCCGCATCTCTCTTGATTCTGGAGGTGTAGCATTGACTGACAGATTAAACTTTTTTTTTTTTTTTTTTTTTTTTTTTTTTTTTTTTTTTTTTTTTTTTTTTTTTTTTTTTTTTTTGTATTGCCAGGTAGTGTACATCACTGCCACGTTCCCATTCATCATGCTCCTTGTTCTGCTCATTCGTGGTGTGACCCTGCCTGGAGCTGCAGAAGGCATCAAGTTTTATCTTTATCCTGATATCTCACGGTTAGCTGACCCACAGGTACAGACCCAGGAGTGGGGAGCAGGATCATTTCCTATGCAAAGGGGGATGGTGGAGGGTGATGGTGGTGATATAATGGCAATAGATTATTTTTTTTCCGTGGTCTTTAGAGGTCCAAATATAGCATGAACATTAACGCTGGGTTATATTTTCCAGAGATCTGCTTGAGAAGGTCACTGTTATATGTGTTAATGCATCTTTCCATGTGTATGTATGTGTGTGTATGCGTGTGTATTTTTTTTGTGTCAAAGGACTCTGAGGCTGTAGACTCTGTCCCGTTATACAATCTCAGCTTTCTTGTTGGTAAGGTAAGGGAGATGCATTTTTTTAATGAGGATAGTCTTTAGTTTCAAAGGAGAGACTCGTGAGCTTCACAGATGGAACAACAAGCAACAACTGTGAGTACCAGTGTCACTAAGCTCCCACTGCTCAGTAGGAGGAGACTGGGAAAGAAGTGAATGAAATAATAGAATGAAAACCAGGCAAAAGTGGAGAAAAATGCTTTCTGAGGCACAGGAACTACTGTTCACTTAGCCCTGGCTAGTGGAGCTAGACTTACTCTTTCTGTATAGGCTGTGATTAGATAAAGATTTCTGTCTGTGCTCACAGTGCAAATATGTGCCACTTGAGCAGGCCAGCATCATTTCAGCCAATAATGACCATGTGAGAAATGCAAAAGAAATGTGATACCCCCCCAAAAAAAAGAAAAAAGGGAATCTTTGAATATAACAAAATGTTGGTCACAGTGAGAGGGAAGAATGTCTGTCTTTGCTGTTTCCTTCTAATGAGTATTTGGTTAAAATAAAACTCTGATGATAACTGAACAGCTGAAGTAGGAAAAGTATAATTGAAAGGAATATTGTGGAAATTTGGTTCATTCTCTGGTCTTGCCCTCTTTGTACAAGACACTCTCTTCACAGGAGACGTTAGATTTTATGAATGAATCTTCTTTTATGGAACTCTATCATTTTTATGATCTACTACTAACCCTAAGCCCAGAGCATCAGCCAGTAATGTAGAAGAGGTTCATGTGAGCTGGCAGGCCCCCTCCCACGGTCTAGCAAAAGCAGCATCTCCAAGGAGACACCAGTCAGCAAGGTGCTGGGAAGTGATGGTGGGAGGGAGGAGGTAATGGTCTACAGTCTTAATTCTCACTTACTCAAACTCCTTGGTGGTTTCTACTGGTGTTAGCAGGCTTGCATTAGCAGAAAGAAGCGAACAGATGGGATTCAGTGGATGCATTTTGATAGCTTGCTATGTATTTACTGAGAAGTTGATAATGTGCTGTTATTTTACTCTGTATATGTTGGGGTTTTTTTTATGTAATCAGGAGAAAGAACCATGTGACCAAGATCAGATACGTATCTTATAAAGTGCATTGTATTTTGCTTGTTTTCCCCCTACCCCTATGGCTTTTTATCTTGCATTTGAATGGATACAAAAACAACCAGAAAGCTAGAAAAATAAACAAACTAAATGCACAAACCTGTTTCTCAAGCTTTTCACATCCTCAGTTTAGTGACTGTCAGCTGGTTCCAACTGAAATGAGTTACAACAGAAATGAGCAATGTCATAAATACTTCTGCATTTCCTATTGCACTGAAACACATTTATCGTTGCACCGACAGGAAGGATCAGCTGAATGACTAAAAAACTAGAAATACCGAGCATCTCTGGGGAGGGGATACAGGAACTGTTGAAGAGATGATGTTCTTGTAGGCTCTGACACTAACAATTTTCTTTTCCCTGTAAAAGCCAAACTTGCAAATGTGGTGTTCTCTTTCCCTCCTTCCCCTGTCCTTTAGCTATCACCCTCAATGGAAGCAATTATTGTGTTGATTTTGCATAGTTTGAACTGTGTGTTTGCATTGAGTGTTGCAATGCAACGATGCTGGTAATAACAGTCTTTCCATCTTTCCCTTTAGGTCTGGATAGATGCAGGGACACAAATCTTCTTCTCATATGCAATCTGCTTAGGAGCAATGACTTCCCTGGGGAGCTACAACAAGTACAAATACAACTGCTATAGGCAAGTTTCCATCCAAGGGGGTTTAGTGTTTTAGCTAAATGATGTAAATAAAGTAGGGACAATGGGTTAATTTTTTTTTAATTAACTTGCTCCATGACATATGTGTGACTTAGGGACTGTTTGCTGCTGGGATGCCTGAACAGTGGTACCAGTTTTGTGTCTGGCTTCGCAATTTTTTCCGTCCTGGGCTTCATGGCACAAGAGCAAGGGGTGAACATTGCTGATGTGGCAGAGTCAGGTACGATGGTGTTGGTGGCAGTGGTGGTGGGCACTGCCGCCTAGCGTGTGAGCAAAGTTCTGCAGACTCAATCAGCTAACATCTAAGCAATAAAAACAGAACAAGATTTCCCATAATCTCCAGAAAAATAAGTGCACTGTTGATTCGGGCTTTCATCTAGAGCAGTGAGGGTTAGCTGGGGTTGTATTGTTTACTCTGTCTTGATTAACAGGGCAGCGACCACATTTCCTAGAGTGTTCTAATCCGTTTGCGTTGAGGTTAGAGTTAAGATAAACCACACCATTATCCAGGGTCCAGAATGCCATTGATTCGAGAATTTATTCCATCCTTCTTTTCAGACTACCTTTATTTTCATCCAAAAGCAAATAGCCAGTGCTTGTGTACTTTCCGTAGCTCAGCTTTGCTTGCTCGCAGCGCAGCACTGCAGTGGGGCTGTTACCGTGGCCTTTTGAAGGGATATACCCAGGTATACTCCCACGTCTCACTGGAAGGCAGGAGAAGTTGGAGAACTCCATCTCCTGGGTTCTGTGGCCCGTTTCATCCCCAGGAACTCTGGTTGTTGCAGTCCTGCCTTTGTCCTTTGTAGCTTCAGGGTGAGGTTGACAGAACTTTGAGAAGTCCATTTTAAAACTGGATGTACACTTAGGTTCCTCCCTCATTTCAGAAGTGTTCTTCCCATTAACCTCCAGCTGCACACATGCAGCTGAAGAAGGCTAAATCCTCACAGCATGTGAACGTACCTCAGACAAAACAGATGACTTTTTTTCCTCTGTGTAGGTCTTGTCCATGAGGGCAGGTGTGACCATGTGTTTTCACGTAGAACAGACAGATTAGATGGGAATTACCATTCAGAAATAATGAGTCAGGCCTCGACAGCCATGAGGCTTAAAGCTAATCAGATTCAATTAATAACAGTGTCACCTGAGTGCACTTTTGGCATTTCTTTCTGATTTTTTTTTTTTGAGCAATTTTAATTCACCTGCATAGTATTTAAAAGCTTTCCTCTGCAAATATGCTATTAAAAAGAAAAAGTCAATATATCTTCTAATCACATGGCTCTGGGAGTTAAGTCTTTAAGAAAAATAATGCCTCACGTCACAAGGGCTAATGAAAAACTAATGACATGTGTGGCACTACTGGATTCTTCGGTGGCTGCAATTGGCATACCTCTCGCAAGTGCAATTAGTTAACGGTCTTGGACGTAATGCTTATTTTGATTGGAGGTTGATTGCTTTGTTTGAAAACAAGAAGCAAGGGAATAATCCTATTGAATGAATCATAAATAGCCCCCCCCTTTTTTTTTTTTTTTTTTTTTTTTTGATTTGTAGGTGGATTAATTCCAAGAGTAGAATTGTTAAAAGTATTTCCACATTAGGTTTTTTTATCTGGTCAATATTTATTCTACTTTTTATTATTAAATCTCTAATAAACAAGCAGCTATATTCCTGTTGCTTGACATTTTTAGAATTAATTCTGTAGCAACGCTGGTTTGTTAAATAATGTTTAAATACAAATTAACTAGCAGACTTAGTGTTTAGGTAGCATTTTTTCAACATCTCAAAAAGAGTTTTTTAAAGGAAGGATTTTATAGCTTAGAGGGGCAAAGAAGGCACTAATTAGCTTCCAAACTTGGCTTTCAACTTCTTGCATATTTTGCTGTTGATTCCTTCAGGTTTTCTGCTTTATTTGAAGTCAGCCCTAGTAACTAATGGCAAGAGATTGCAACGATCTGACTGTTCAGTGGGTTGCGCATCATCACTGGCTGGTCTTCACCTAAATCTGAAAGGACATTTTTACATGACAGTAAACATTCCCCAAATTACCCAAACCACTTCCCATGGGTTTACACGCTGCCTTTCTCAGCAGAGATTGAGTGCAGAACCACTGGAGACCACTTTGTCCCCCTGGGATGAGCACCCAGGACCCCCGTGGGGCTGTGGGGGAGGCTCTCGCTGCCGCTGCTGCCCTGCTGCTGACTTCTCAGCACAGAGACACTCAGCAGGCACTCGGGCCTCTTTTTTCAACCTTGCCTTTTTTAAGTTTCTTATGACACAAGGTCAGAACTGCTCCCCTGGGTCAGGAAAAAGGTACTTGGCTGTAGCACCAGGGAGAGGACGTTGTCCACGGGGCCAAGACCTCCTGCTCCCCCACGTCTCTGCCCAGCAAGTTGAATCCCTCCTGCCCTATGCGTGACACCATTTGTTTCCTTGTTTGCCTTCCTGCAAGCCAGGGGAACATTGACAAATCTGCTGACAGCAGAATCCACATTTTTTTACCTTTGCCAAATTCAGCTTTGGTGCGATGTTCCTGGGACACCCTCATCAGCTCGGGATGGCCCCCACTTAAAGCACTGGTCATTGCTGCCAACTTTCACTGGCTTAGATTTACACTACAGTACGTTAGACCCCTTTGACTTCCCAGTGAAAGGGGATTTTTGATAAATAGCACTTGATTTTTTTTTTCAGAAATACTTTTAAAGGGAGAGAGGGAAGCAGTGGAGGCTCAAGAACGCCATAGTGAGTCCTGTCTAATCTGGCTGGAAGAAATACATTACTGCCTGTGCAATTTGTGGCAGCTTTAAAACAGCACAAGATCTGCCTTTTTTAAAACTCGAGTTGCAAACAGATTCAGATTATGCAGGCCTGACTATAGTGCCTTGGTCTCTGTAATGCCTGCCCGGTCTCTGCCTCCGCAGCGCTCTGCTCCCGGGGCACATCTCCAGCCGTGCTGTGGCACTTAGCCAGCGAGCGGCCTGGGATTGTGACAGTCCTAATTAGCTCTTAATAGCAGCCACAAGTGCTTCACTTCTACAAAACACCCTTCAGAGCAACAGAGTTTCAAATTAAATATGATTTTTGATTATTGAAATTCAGTCGAGGGGGATGCTAGGAACATTTTCTTTCACATGGACTTCTTCTATTTCAAGACTTAGTTTCAAAGGAAAATCAAAGCTAGCACAGGGCTTAGGGCACTTGGTAGTAGGTGGTATCACAGTGCAAGGACAGTTTCACTGGCCAAAGCATACAGAATTGCAGCAAATTTTGAGGAGAGCAGTTTTACATCTGTCTCATCAGTTGCACAGATCAGCTGCAAATGCCATCTGGTAGCAGTTCTCCCTCAGGGAGAATCCACTGTATCCACTGAATTAGGGGGAAAGAAAGCAAATCCCCCCCAAAATTTGAGACATTCACCAATTTTTTGGTATCTTCCGTCGTATAAAAACTTAGTTGTGTTTAATTTTAAATAAAACTAGTTGCTCGATTGTTGGCTAATTTGTATTTATTTCTGTTCAAATATTTTCAGTGACTTAAAGTTTTCTTTAGTTTGAAAAAAGTCATAATTTTTTTGCCTCTTTCTCTTGCTTCTTTTTCCATCTTTCTTGTTGGAAAGGAAAAGTGGGAGGTAGGAAGAGCAGCGTTAGAGATTTTTTTATGTACAGATCAGAGATAAGATTTCTGTCCCCACACTGCAGCAGGTTAAAAGAATTCCTTTTCACATTGAAAATTCCTTGAATCCACTTTCAAATCCTGGAAAACGCCAGTTTTCATGGCTCCTTAAACCAAACAAACAGATGAGCCAGGCATTCCTGGGTTTAATCTGAATTTAAATCTGCCCTCAGAATTTTTTTATCGGCTTCACCAGATTTCTGCGGCCACTTTGAGAGCCTGCCGTAAACGCTGGCTGCCCGGCGTTCCTGTCTCCCACTTGGAGAGGGCTCTCTCGCTCTGCAAAAGCTCTCCTGAGTGATAGCTGATAGCCCCTGGCTCCGGGTGAGAGATCAGCAAGCGAGGGCCCTGCCCGTGTGCTCGGGTTGGGGGCTGAGCGAGATGCCCCAGTCTGGTGAGAGCACTCGCACACCAGGCTTTGTTTTCCAGAGCAGAGAAGCCAGGTGCTTATTCCCAGCCCTGCCGGTGCTCCCAGACTGTTGGAATCCATCCTGCAGTCGGGGCTGATGCTGGTCGTATTCAGCGTCACCACGGCAGGTCTGGGCGGATAGGGGCAGATGATGTGACAGCATGGGGAAGGGATTTTGCACAGAATGATTTTTACACCCCAGCAGTTCCTAACAGCAGGAGGGTTTTTTTTCAGGGATCACAGCTGATATAACTAGGAGTAGCCTGATCACTTCAGTGCAGCGGTGAGGGTTTGCAGAAGCGAAGGAGCAGACTCCTGGAGTGCAAACCCTGCTCTAGAAAAGCCACGCTGGGTTTGGAGATTGCATACAGAGGGAAACAGTGGTTGTGTTAGCGAAGATCCCAGGGAATGTTCGGAGCAGAGTCCCCTTCCCTGCATGCAAAAGAGTTTCATCGTCATCATCTTCATCGTGACCGTGTGGGCTAGCAGTGGGATTCTGCCATTCCCCTGGGTCACCCCTTCTACCCCTGCCCCAATACTGTCCTCCAGTAGGACACCTCCATTATTGGCATGTTTGAGACAGATGTTAAAACTGGTGATCTGTTAGCAATGGCCTCGGGGGTTTGCCTGTGGTTTCTGCTGTAGTCATGCGTGCTTCGATTTCAGATAAAAGAGCCAAACTGTTTCACTTCTGGTATTTCCAGCCGCGTTTGGATTTATCTGAACGGAACCAGGCATTCCTGCATTTGAGTGTGGCTACCTTTACCAAAGAGCTGGTACTTACTATTTCTTCTCCCTTCCCTTCCCCCTTTCCTATTTTCTTTTTCTCTAGGTCCAGGCCTGGCCTTCATTGCCTACCCAAAAGCTGTGTCCATGATGCCACTGCCCACCTTTTGGGCAATCCTTTTTTTTATTATGCTTCTGTTGCTTGGACTGGATAGCCAGGTTAGTACAATGGGTAAGAGATATGTGGCTTATTGCCTCAGTGCTGCTGACAGAAAAGCTGGGTTTACAGTTGTGAGTTCAGAAGAGAAGACCCCTTCAGTGTAGGGGCTGCATTTGATGCATCTATGACTGTCAAGTCATAGTATGATGTGGCTCAATAAGTCTTCCTCATCGGGAGTTAATGGAGTGCACAAGACTAGGGCAGTACTCCCTAACCGAAATAGCAGTGCCAGTCTGGCCTCAGAATACCACTATTTTGGTCATAGTGCAGTATTTTCCTACTCTGGAGAAGAGCTTTATAATTTTAAAACATAAAATACTACAGAAGTTTGTTCCACAGAGTACTTCGTGCCATTGTGATCACCTGCAGTGTGTAGGTAGATTAAAACACCTTATAAGAATTAATAACAACTAGGAATACAGGCTTTGATAGTTACCAAGTGCCAAAAAAGAAAAGGGAAGCCATCATGAGGCACAAAAAGCACAAAATGTTTTGTGCAGTGTAGCCAGGGTGGCTTCACAAACAGAAGACAAAGGCGCAGCCTTTTTCAGTGGCCTTAGGCTCAGAGCTGCTGAGCAATGTGGGATCCTGCTGACTTTCGCGTCACCAGCGCACATTCAGTACCTCCAAATGGGCAAGAAAGCATCTTGGGTTTCAGCTGTACTAATTATATAGCACATGCTGCTATTAATTAGTGAGCATAAAAAAAACCCCTAGAAGTTCAGTCCGAGAAGTTGGGTTATTTTTCCCAGTGGTTGCTTATAGGAATGTTGGACTAAATACCTCAAAAGTACCTGTAAATCATTTCTAGATAGTCCATTTATGAGGAAACATGGGTGACCAGGGATTATGCAGCTAATGTGAACTGCGCATTCAAAACTGCCAAGGGTTTCAGGGCAACAGGCAGCCTTCTGCACTCAAATGGAAAGCCAGGTTAGAAAAACCCAATTGGTAAGGGTGAAATGTTCATTTAGGCTAAATGCTCTCTCATATGAGGAGAGATCCGTAAGTGGATTTTTACCCAGTTGTGTACTTCATCTCGTACATTTTTTATATTTCATTTGCCCTAAATTGCTCTTTACGGCTTAATCTTTGAACTCTAGTGAGCTACTTTCAGTTGTTCCAAAGTAAATGTAAAAGTGCCCAATGCCGTGGTTCAGCAACCCTGTGCTTATGCAAATTGGAAGCTGTCTCGTAATTTTAAAATGCTGCGTAGAATGATTAAAACTAATTGGAGCGCTTAATTTCTCTCTTCCACCCCTCTGTTTTTTTGGAGTGCGGTCAAGCAAGTTTCTGGAATGCCGAAGCAGTTTAAGATCAAATCAGCCCAAAGGAAAGGGTTGCATTTAAAAAGAAAACCAGTTTTACCAAGACAGGAGGCAACAAAATCTGGTGGAGTCTTTGCAGGATGGTCTGTGTTTCCAAAATGGAGTTTCAGCTCGTGGTCAAAGAGGGCAGAGTTGTTACGGGGCACTTCTGGGCGCTGTAAGAGCTATATAGATACTGGGTAGGAAAAGGCAGCTTTTCCTGACATAAGGTTCCCCTTGCTAACTCGTTAGTTGTAAGATGATCTATCCACTTAAAGTGAAGATCATTTCTACAGAGGCAGCCTTGGTTCTCCGTGGTGTCCTCATGTCTGCATTGAACTTGGTGCTTTTGTACCTTGCCAGGCTGAAAGTACAGATCAGCTGAATGATCCCTTCTTCGGATTTGTCTGGGGGGAGTTCAGTAGTCACTTCTCTCCTTGGGTGAAGTGCATCTGGTTTTTGATTAACTTTAGACTTTTACTGAAACCCAGTTTGGGTTATTTGGTTAACTCGAGTTACACATCTCAGACGTAGTTTTCCAATGGCAAGTAAGTACAAATATAGTTATCACGAAGCTAGCTAAAGTAAGATTTTTAGCTCATCTATTCAGAGCTTCATTTTTGATTTAGATATGCAAATAATTTACCAAATTTTTCTATGAGGCCTCCATGAACCATTACTGGTGCAGAGGGACCCCAGAGCCTCAGTCGGAGGTCCGGAAAAGACAAGTTGAGTCAAGAAGAGCTGCTATTTCACATCAAAGTCTGCTTTCCCTCGGCTGGATTTTCACTAGCAAACCCAAGAGTAGAATTATAGCCAGTTGTGGGATTAACCTAACTAGTACCTGTGAGGTTTTCTGACACATCAAAAAAAAAAAGGCTGGGAGGTACTCTCCTAGATCTCCTAGCTTAGGCTGTTTTGAGTGTTTCCTCCTTGCCTCTTTTCTCACACACATCTTGTATTCATCTGGAACAGCTACAACATAAAAGCCACATAAGTGCCTTCCTGTCATCAAATTAACTTCCTTTATCCTTGTGGCTTGCATTTACAGAGCCCCTTTGGTAGTTCGTAAAGCTGCTAGGAAATGAACAGCAATTCTGAAAGCTTGTTCCAACGTGACTGCTACCCCCACACTTCAACCTCTGGGTTACAAAGGAATGGCTTCTGATTTATTTATTCAGAGCAGCTTTTTGCCACAGAGTACAGTTAGGGTGTTGCTGTGGAGCATTTGTTCAAGTACGGCTCACACGTATGAGCCCGGATTAAATACAGTGGGTAATTTTCAAGTCACGTTTTCCTGTTGTTGTTGTTTTTCCCCTTTAGTTTGTTGAAGTTGAAGGACAGATCACGTCATTAGTTGATCTGCACCCATCCTTCCTAAGGAAGGGTTACCGACGGGAAATCTTCATCGCTATAGTATGTTTCCTTAGCTATCTTCTGGGACTAACTATGGTGACTGAGGTAAGTAGCACCAGTGCTAGAAATTGCCGCCTTCTTTAGACACTTTTCAGACCAATTTTAGCTACGATTGACACTGCATGGAATTAGCCACTCAGAGGAGCAGTGCTCTTTAGATCTACAGAGCATGTTTCATCCCTAGATCTGAAAGCATTTTGAAAGGGAGCTATATATCCCCCCTTTTGAGACAGAGGAACAGAGACATGAAATCTCATTAAATTCAGTTTGATCTCCAGTACTAATCAACACGAGCATGAATATTCACATCCAGCTCTAAATGATAAAACACATCGGGAACCTTCCGCAGAGCAGATTAAGAATCCATCCAGTGCATGCAGGGAAAGAGATTTTTATCTTAGTTACACAGATTTGAATCAATTAAATACCACTGGATTTATTCTAGTATAAACAAGACGGGAATGTGTTCCAGTGACTGCACTGTTGTGATATTTATCTCCAAAATAAAATCCAAGCCAGATTTTAAAAACAACTGGAAGAGCACAACTGTGGGATTTAAAATAGCACCTGTAACAGAGGTGCCTAACAAACACAGTTTTTCAAGAAAAAGTGCAGGTATATATAGTTCACTGTATTGAGAGCAAAGAGTCTAACAGCATAGTATAAATAGAAATTAAAAAATGAACTATTCTCATTAAAAAAGTCCTTGCACTCAATTCATAAGTGAAGATCCTTTTGATAAACTGGTTTCCATTTTTAGTATTTGGGTGACGTTAATGTTAGGTAACCTTTACATTGTTTATTTCTATAAATGCCCATCCTAAAATACTACTAAGAAGGAAAGATTTAAGAGTCTCAGTAGATGATATGAAGTGGCTTAATTTTATTTAATCATTGTCTTGTTTGGAATCCTTCCTATAGTAAACATGTATTCCCTGGGGAAGGTGATGGCAAATGTTTACCTTACCTACTTGCTTGATATTTCTTCTTGTTAGACAGCAATCATTAAGATATATTGGTAGATGCTACTGGGAGCTGGGCCCGAAGTATTGTTTTTTTCCTTTTGGATCGTAATCCCTTGTGTCTCTCTCTTACAGGGTGGCATGTATGTTTTTCAACTCTTTGACTACTATGCAGCTAGTGGTGTATGCCTTTTGTGGGTTGCATTCTTTGAATGTATTGCTGTAGCCTGGGTTTATGGTAAGTGAGAATCCTTTCATCTGATATCTTTTGATGAGTCAGTGACAATTTCACTAGCCAAACATTTAATCATCAGCCACCCCAGAATCTTCTTCCCAGCAACAGACACATACCATTAATCTAAATTTGCACTGACATCTTGGAGACAAATTTGCATCTGGGATGAAGCCAGCCTCCAGTGTTTTTACACACACACACACAAAAAGTATTTTTCCATTGCTAATTAATAAAAGCACAATTAAGCATTTACATGTGTTAAGTTTAGAGATGAGAGTTGAAAGTTTGGCCAGCCATGAAAATTCCTGTTTGTCTCAGAGAATTTCCTTTCAGAGCTGCAGTATCCACAAGGGGCAAGACAACAAATAGAAAATACAAAAAGAAAGCTGGCAGAAAAGTATATTCTGCCCTGTTACTTTTAGGTGATGCTGAAGGTCTGACAGTAGCAGCCTCTGCCTGAGACGGCAGCTGAGGAATGATCAGAAGATGTTTGCTGCTTAGGGCTGGTCATTTCCCTGATTCTTCCTGTACTCCATCTCCTTAGAAAAGCAGAATAAACAGAGCCTCCATCCCACATCAGTCAGATTTCTGGAGAGGTGGGATGTCCCGTTTGCTGTCACGTCCCTCCCATGGTGATCCCTGTGGCAAGTTCAGTGGGAGTGTGGGCAGAGGAGTGGCCGTGTGACAGGGGCAGGAGGGATCAGGATTGCATCCCACATCCGAGTAACGAGGGCGTGTAGGGGAGAGTCCCCCAACCTTTGACTTTCTCAGGGAGAAAATCATCTTAAGCTTCACAGCCATAGGAAGCGTTTGAACAATACATCTGACACCCTCATCTTCCCTTTAAACCCCCTTGGAGGGGCTAGGGAAGCAGCTGTAATCCTACAGTGCTTACGTGGCTTTATACGCTCGATTCTGATCTGTCACAGGCGCTGATAATATTTATGATGCCATTGAGGACATGATTGGATACAGACCTGGTCCCTGGATGAAATGGAGCTGGATTGTGATCACACCAGTTCTTTGCGTGGTGAGTACTGTCCCGTGCTCTTTCAAGTCTTCCACGTGGCAGCTCTGAGCCACCTCTTACTTCTTCTCTTTGAGTGAAGGCTGTTGCATTCAGAGACCAATTTGCAAGGAGATGCTGGAGGCCTGAACATAGCCCTCACGTTCTCAGGTGTTAGCTGTTAACGTGACAGCTCTCTGCTGTGCCCGCACAAATTGCAGTTGGCTGCATGTGAGTGGATTTTTCTTAGGACTGGCAAAATACTACATTAGTGACACAGAAAACTCGCTTTCCAAGAGCTCCCCTTACTTTAAGTAATAGGACTACTAGGCCATTTTAACAGAAAGACGTGAGCCATCTGAGGCAGGCACTCAGCTTGAAGTATGTCATTTGCTGTGAAGAACATCCCAATAACCTCCTTGCAGTGTGTAGCAAATATTTGAGCCCTGAAAAAGAACAGGCAGAGGATTACAGCTGTTCAGCACCATTGCTCAAGACCCTATTGTCAAGCAGCAGTTTACCTATAAGCAAATGCAGATGCTCTTTCAATAATTTAAATGGAAGAATAATTCCCCCACTGCTTTAAAATACCTCCAGTATCCATCAGCTCTGCCTTTCACTGCCTGTCTCCCCTAGAGCAGTGGTAGCACCGTAGCCTTACTGCTTTCAGCAGGTTTTGAGCCTCACTTTGTTTTTCCTTTCTCATCCACAGGGGTGCTTTATCTTTTCTTTGGCCAAGTACAAACCACTGACCTACAACAAGGTCTACACATACCCAGACTGGGCAATTGGCCTGGGCTGGGTTCTTGCCCTTTCCTCCATGATCTGCATCCCTATGGTGATGGTCATCCGCATCATACAGTCAGATGGGTCACTTATTGAGGTAAGAGCAACCCGTTGTCTGTCTAGAAGAGAAAGGGAGCTTTAACTTGCTGGTTTATACAAAACAAGCACAATACTTGGAAAACTGCCACCTTGTCCAGGTAGGGCAAAGTTGGGTGCCTCTCCTGCAGTGAATGCAAATCAGACTGTTAAAGATCACCTGTCCTTTGGGCAAACAGTCGAAACAGAACAAACACGAAGCCTTCTGTCCTCAGACAAACACCAGGTGATTTCACTTGTGTCCCACTTCTGCAGTTTCCAGCTTGGCAAATCATTGCCTTCACGTGCAGACAGGCACTCAAGGGCTGGAGTGCTTCCAAGTGCCAGAACTCTCTTCTCCAGCCCACAGGGACAAGGAAGCACCATCCTACAAATCCCTGAGAAAACTAGAGAGAGACCTGGGTCAAACCCTGTGTAAGAGCCCACTGAATTTCAGGGAAATTCAGATCCACCTGTGCGCTGTTTAGCTCTCACACGTGGCCTTCGCTGAGTAAAAGTCAAACCCTCCTGCCAGCGGACTTCACTTCTTAGCTTTTTAAATTTTTTTCTTATTCCTAATGAATCAAATCAAAACAATGGATCCAGATTGCCCTGAGTTTTGGAAAACTTTGGATCAAATTCAGACTTGACAGTGCAGATTCTCTCGGGTTTGGATTTGCAGGCAATCTCTTGCCCTTTGCAGTTCAGCACAGGTTCCTCTGGTCTCTTTTTCTTCCAGTGGAAAGTTTTTAGATACTTTTCAGTCATGAAACTTAGCAATTCTCTTCTGAGGTTTCAGGTTAGTTTTGGTTTTGCCTAATGAGACGGTCTTAAATGCAGCCCAGGGTATTCTTGGAGCAGAAAGTGGGACACTTTGGGTTAGGGAAAAAAAAAGAGAATAGAATCAAAAAAGAACATTTCCCAGAGAACAAACGCTTACATTTGTTTTCCTCCAAGTGTTAATGGTCTTTTTCAGCTGTGGCCAGAGCATTTTCATGAGTGTTTATTTTCCTGCCTACATTGTCACCATCTATTGAGAGACAAGTCTAAAAGTAGCCAAAACACTCCACAAAGACCATGTTAGGAAAGGAAAGAGAGTAAACACTGGTCAGATGCCATTTAGTTCTTCCTTTGTGTACTGAGATGTAGGAGAGAAGTTGCCACTTGGCAATGAACGGCCGGGCTAAAAGGCAGAGTTGTTTCTAAATGAAGAAGGAGGACGCACATAATTTGTGCAGCAGCTGCAGCGCTGAAAGCCCGGAGTGCAGGATGCAGGATGCTGTGAATGCCCGCTCCTGTCTGGTTTGCCTGTCTCAAGCCAGGCTTTGTGGCTGAGCAGAAGTTGAGGGCGGTGTTCCTCAGCCTGGGACCCCACAGCCTTGCAGAGCCACGAGGCACACGCACCGCTGTGGCCACCAGACCCATCCGTGGCTTGCCCCATCCTCCAGTCCTGCACGTGGGGCCGCTCGGTCTTGTGACCTTTGGTTTTCTTCTTTCTTTCAGAGGATAAAAGCGGTGGCTGCCCCCAAGGAAGTGAATCGGTGGTCCAAAGAAACGGAGAGTGGCACCCCCTTCTGCCCCAATGGAACTTCGAATGGCGGATTGATCAAGCCAACTCATATCATTGTGGAAACCATGATGTGAGCTCTCTCTGTGAGAGGATAAACCTGCTTTAACTGCCGTTTACTAACCATAGATTCTCATAGGACCAGGTTTACAGAGCTTTATATTTGCACTAGGATTTATTTTTATTTCTCACAGAGAAAGTTATTTTTTGTGTGTGTTTTTTTTTTAATATTTTGTAAGGTAATCACAGCAGATGCCTCTCTGTAGAGGGAGAGCTTTCATATCAGACTAGACATATTACAGGAATTTACTATTATTGGGTTTTTTTAAATATATATATCTTTATCTCTAAATATTATACACCTTACCACTTGAATTGATTGTCTTGCCAGCAATACATTCAAGTGTCAGAAAGCAATTTTTAGGTGCTGGTATGGTTGGGAGCAGGGTAACCTACAGAACACACAAAAGGAGCTCTGTTGAGAGATAAGATTTTAAAAAAGATGCTGTTTCAAGAGAATTTTCAAAGGTGTAGTATTTCCACCCTCTGGTTCAATTGTGGTAAGTGACAGGCTTCAGGGTCACATTAGGGAAAGGGTACAGGTATGTTTAGCACAGTCCCTGAATAAAGCTACAGGCGGGCAGCTGGAGCAGGGAGTTTGCAAGGGAGGCGGAGAAGCTGGGTGTGAAAAGCCTTGCAGCCGTTCCTGCCAAGCACGGCGCTGGAACCCTGTCACACAGATGAGAGGAGGACTTCAGGAAGGCGTTTTTGCAGGATTTGGCATGGTTCACTGGTTGGTTTTTTTTCTTTTTTGAGGTTTTGAGGGTTGTTTTTTTTTTTTAACTGAAGTGAAATGCCTGCTGTTTGTGCGTGAGCGGAGAGGTGGAGTACCTGATCCTGAGTTTTCTAGCAAAGCATATTTTAGCATGGTGGCACTGGTGTAAACTTGAATTCTGCAAACTGGGAGGGGCAGCCTATCCCTGAGGCAGCAGGGGTGAGTGCTGAGGAGCTGGGAGGGGAAAAGCTGCACCTGCCCTCTGGGTGCTTCTGGTGTTCGCTTGCTCGTTCGTTTGCTTGTTAATCTTTGGACTTTGGTTTCGGGCAGAAAAATAAAAGAATCCCTTCTGGACTCTGACTGTCCAAAGGTGAACACAAACCAGGTCATCCCTGACAGGAGGAAGGAAACTGCCCACCTACACCTGGTGTAACTAGTATTTATAACAGACACATTGTTAATAATAATAGTAATGAAGATAATAATACCACTCAGCAGACAGGTGCTTTTCATCCACGTATCTCAAAAATGCTTTGCCAAGTTCAGTAACCAGGATTTGCTTTTATTTATTTATTTGTGGGGGTGGGGGGTTCGTTACTGTTGGGGGAACAGACAAAAGGACTGAGTCCCGTGTCCCGTGTACTAAAGAGCAGCAGTGGACCTAGAGCCCCCAGTCTCCTTGTCCATCATTGGGTTAAACCATCATTTTATTCCTTTTTTGAGGGGGAGTGGAGGGTGGCAGACTTAAGAGACTTATGAATCCCATCTGCTGAAGAAACAGGGCTTTGGGGATTTTTAAGTTAAAGCAAAGGGAACATGTAACACTGAAATATTTTTTATTTGCTCAGAAGGAATTACATACTGTTCAGGTTAGACTAGGGAGTGAAGAGAAACCACTACAAGGAGGGTAGGAAAGGGGGTTCCGCTTCGCGCGGGCCAGGTGGATGTTTCCGTGGGGAATTGCCCCTGAAGACTGTCCAAAACATGGGCTAAAGCCTTTTTTTTTTTTTTTTTTTTAAAAAAAACTTTAGCAGGTTGTGCTGGGAACAGGTTCTCTGGCGAAACTCAGCCTTTTCTTGTGGGCATTGTATTAGAGGGAGAGGGTTTTTTCTTCTTATGATACCACAGTTAGGCTATCCAAAGGTAATTAGAGGAAATGCTTGATAAAAGCAGAGTTTGCATCTGCTGATTCTGCTGTCAGCTTAGTCTGTCAGGGCAGAGTTTGTCATTTAAACAGGAACATATCCAGTTCTTAACATTCCTACACAGTAGTTGTTTGCTTGGTTTGTTTTTTTTCTTTTCTTGTCCCATGGACTAACTGGCCACAGCAGCACAAAACCCTTATTGATTAGCTCGTTGGTTTTCCTGTAACAGAATAGGGGTGACTTAAAACTAAGAGATGGACCAAAATAATTAAAACAAAACAAAAACCAAAAAAAAAAAAAAAAAAAAAAAAAAAAAAAAAAAAAAAAAAAAAAAGGAAAAAGTGACTGCATCTGTATCTTTCCAAATCTTCCTAGTTTGAATTGGTACACATTTTTACATGAGATAGCTGAGTTGCAGCCACAAAACCAGCCATGGCAGAATTGCTTTTGGGTTTTTTTGCTGGTTGCTGCATTATGAGAGTTATAAATGAAACTTTTCCACAGCTGGAAATGGCAAACATCTCATGACACCTGCTGGGCCAGTGGCAAAAGCCATCTGATAGTCACTGGGGGAAACCTGTGAGCCAGTGGGTGTCATCAGATGTGCCCAAAATAAAGAAATATACATAGAGCTAATTTTTCTTTGGGTTTTTGGGTTTGTTTTTTTTAATAGCCTGTAACTGTCAAAGGCAAGGAACTGTAATCAAAGATAACTCTCTTAGTGGGCTTCAGCGTGGACCCTCGGTTTTGAGTTACAATTAGTGTCTGCAGTAAACAGGCACGCTTGCCTGGGTGAAAAAGGAGTAAGTCTAAATTAATGGTTTCTGTGAGTGCAGATGAAACACTGATGCTTGATTTTTTTTAATTTTTTTTTTTATACACATTGTCATACAACTGCGTTTGAGATCTAGTTTGCACATCACTTTTGTGCTGTAGAGCTGAGACAAGCTTTAGTTAGGGGGAAAAAAAAAATGGTTTGGCTCCATTAAAGACGTCTCCAGCGAGTCAGCTGGGTATTTAAACCATCTCCCACATTGTGGAGAGTGTCTTTGTGTGAAGAACCAGAGGGCTAATACTACACCTTTCAAAGTACAACTACTAGAGAACTAGAACCCAGCCCCATTTCAGTATAAACTGTGCCATTCAAATCAGTCGCTTCCATGTACCGAGTGAAAACGTCTCGCACATATGCAACAACCTCATTGAAGCCTTCTCTGTGTCAACTCCTCTGGCCCTGCCGTGCTCTTTAGCATGACTGCAAGGGAGGGCTGGGACTCACGAAGAGCTGAGAAATTATTGTTTCTGGAAAACAGGTCCCCTCTCCCTTCTTCCCTCCCCTCCAAAAAAAATATAATTAATTCTTCGTGTTTTATCTGGGGTTTGAGTTCTGATGAGCACACTCACATTTTTACAGTCTGGGGCTTTTTCCTAACACTTTTATCAGATTTCTGAACTTTTCTTGGTGATAAATTTGCATTTCAATATGATCCTCTGCCAAATTTATTAAAAAATAATTTTTAAAAAAGTCTGTGTTTTCTACCTATTTCTGACTGCAAATACAACTGATTTTTTTTTCCTAATTTACTTGTTGGAACACTTGTGAGCTATTTTACCTGTTTGATGTAAATGAGGAACTCTATATTAAACTATCATGACTAGTCATAGATGAACTGGTTTGGATCCAGGGAAAAGTTAGTGCAGTTTTGACATGAGATCTTTAGAACCAGATCCCTGAGTTTGAAACCAGAATAAAACAAGACAAAACCCACACCTTTTCATATTTCCATGTCCCTTTTGTATTCATGGGTTCCTCTGCGTTGGAACCAGCAGAGTTTTCAGCAGTGTGTCTTTCCAGCTGAACTGAAGTCAAGAGAGAGGAGAAATGGAAAGGGGAACATTTACCCCACAAGATTCTCTGACCTGTTTCTTGTTTTTCTCCATTTTCCAAACTTTTGCGGTTCACCTGTCACTAGTTATGATCTCACTGAATGAGCATCTATTGTAAGGGACTTTACCAGTAGTCTGTATTTGGGTGTTTAAACTGTATGATTGCATCACTAGAACTGGTTTTTATTGTTGTTGTTGTTATTGTTCTCATTTTCCTTCTCATCCATAGCTTTCCTTTTCTTCTGGTCCAAACAGACCCACACGCTTAGAAAAGTCCTCTTTAAAGTGTGAGATAGTAGGTCCACAATGGATTTGTTCTTGTGTTGTAAATGAAAATACAGAAGCCTCGCAGCTGTGTTTGTCACTGAGAACAACGCTGGTGTTACCCGCAGCAGCAGCGCAGCTCCTGGAGCAGCGTTAGGAACGGTCTGCTGGAACAGCTCAGCTAGACTGGTTATCACTGCTGGGCTTGGGGAGAGGAGGAAAAGAGACAAACAGACAGAAAAGGTGCAGCCTTATTTTTGCTGTAACATTAAAAAAAAAACAAAACAAACCAAACCCAACAACCATGAGCAGAGCCTTCACTGTCACCGTCGGGATAGCATCTTCTGCAGCTGTTTTCAGTCCTGTGTGATTCCTTCTTTCTCAACTGCAGCTGCTCCTGGTTCCTCTTCTCTGTCTCAGTGTTAGACAAGCCAAGTAGATCTGAAGACACACGGACATTTCCATTCCATAGGCCTTTTACAAGTCTCCTCCTAGTCTGTTTTTATTTGCTATGGAGACTTAAAGTTTCAGTGAGGTTGTGCTTGTCACACTTGGGTTCAAAGCTCCCACTTGTTGCATCAATGGCAACGCTCCATCCGTGGGAGAAGGATTTGAACGTTTTTTGAATAACTGATTATTAGCTTCCACGTCTTGTGGTCACTGCGGGATCACTCATGGAAGCATAATGTATATAAAATGTTAAATAAGCTGTGTATTGAATGGAGTGGACAAGTTAGTTAAGCAGCTCAAGTACACTTGGAAGAAAGAAAAAAAAAAAAAAAAAAAAAAAAAAAAAAAATCTGTGTTTAAGTAGACTAGTAGATGAACTCTTCCACTCTCATATGCACGCACACAAGTGGAAACATTGCTTCTATTCCTGGACATGTGTGTAAGTCTTGCAGAGCTGTTTAGGCACCACTTGCCTGCAAAAAGCCAACCTGCCAGGGTGCCCAAAAGGCCTTTTCTAAATTTGGGGTGGTGGAAGCGGGGAAGTAATGACAAACTCCTGGATCGTGGCCCCTCCAAGGAAGCCTTAAGGTTGGATTTGGAAATCTCGTGACTCCTTGCAAGCGCCACATGGCTCCTGGTATGGGAGGCTGGGTGTGGCGTGGGTTCATGCAGCTGCCTTGGACTTGTTTTGTTCCAAAATCGGCATCCAAAGCTCTGTGGTTAGGACTGGCGTGTAGTTGTGTATTTGTGTATTTGCATGAGCAAAGGTCGGGAAAAAGTAGCTTGTTTTATTTCTTGTAGTCAAAGCTAAGCTTAAGACAAGACAGTATTCAGTGGATTTGGTGACAGCTGACACCTAAGAAACCCATGAACTAGTGCATAACCGGCCCCCTGAGCTCCATATTTTGGTCACAAAAATTTTCCGTTGGTCTCAACGGTCAGTTTGGGTTTATGGGAAAGCTTGCTCAAGATACACTTGAGCAAAACCAGCCCCAGCCCCAGCTGGAAACCAGCTCGTTCCAGCCCTGCAGCCTCCACTGGATCGTGGCTCTTTTTTGCCAGCCCAGCAATAAACTTGTACATGAACAATGCTTCTCCACTTTTGAAAAAAAAAAATCTGAATTTGTTTGTTTCTATTAAAAAATAAACAGAAAAAATTAAAAAAATTTGTGTTTTTTTTTTCCAATTGTCAGTGTGAATTGGTGATTTCAATTTACCTGTGTCCTCAAACAAGAACAGAAAAAGATTCAGATGCCAATTGACCAAAAAAAAAAAAAAAAAAAAAAAAGTCAAGCTCAAAATTTTACAGGTGGAAAACATTAAGAAAATATATCACACCCCCATCAAAGGTGGAAAACTTTAGTGAGGGGTTTGCAACTGGAAGAGAGCCTGACCCTGCTGGTATTGCTGAGCTAGTGCATGGCAGAGCAGAGACGGCCAGTTTGTATCGCTGCGATGGCCTGATTTGAAGTAATCAGCAAAAAAAATGTCAGAATTTAATTGCCACAAGCTTTACACAGCCCTGAGCCTCAGGAGCAATACTAATGGAAGACATTTTGAAAAGGAGAGAGAGTGTCTGGAGGCTTCATCCCCATGGTGTGGCTCTGCAGCGCACAACAGGGCAGGGCCGCTCACGTGCCCGTTTGCAGCACAGGGAAACCGTGGCCCAACTTGAAAAATCAGAAGAAATAATGGGGAAAAGTAAGTGAAACTTGGTTATGCTGAAGCGCTGTGTTTGTGTGCTTTTGTGTGTGTGCATATGCAGGGGAAGGATTCAGTCCTGTAGCGTAGTACATGTTAGCATGATACATATTGTTTCTAAATCTATCTGCTTCTGCAGTTGAGATATTAAAAAGATTCTATTTTTGTTTTCAATATATAAATTTAAAAAAAAGAAAAATTGAGAACAGTGGCAAAAATCATGTTGAGAGGCTGAAAAAAACCCTAAAAATCCTTGGGGGCAAGTTGAGTTAGTTGTCATCTGCTCCCGTTCTGGAAGCCAGCGAGGGTCTCTCAGCATTGCAGCATCCCGGTACTGTTCTGAAGTGCTCGTTGTTCAATAGGGTGTTGTTTTTCTCCAGTGTAATGTTGTGATTGTTACCTGATAACGTTGCCAGGGACTTCACGTTGTACGAGGTGGTCCATCTTGTTTGATGTATTTGGCTAAAAAACAGTGGTGGTTTTTTTTAATTATTATTATTATTATTATTATTTAAATTCCTAGCAACTGTGACTACAGTAATGTGATGAGTAGCACATACAGCAAGGAGGTGGCGTCGATGACGGCCTCCTCAAAAATGTCATCTGAACTTTTTTTTTAAAAAAAAAAGAGAACACCTTAAAAATATTTTTAAAACATTTTAAGACATTTTTTTGTGTGTTCCAAAACGGAATATTTGTATTTGAAAAAAATCCTGAAGTGTAATTTAATCCTAAAACCCCTAGCCTTTGTGTATATGGTAAATGTTTGTATTTTGCAGTTTCTGTTTTGCTTTTTAGATAAATAAAATGTATATGGATATTTTTAAGTCATCTTTGCTTTTTTAGATGAGTTTGTAATCACCTTATAACTGAAAATAAAACTTTCCTTTATAAACCAGCTATGTTCTTGGATGCTTTCTTTGGTCTTTGAGTAGCTCAGTTCTTCATGTAAGCCTGTTGCTTATTGTGGGGTTGTTGGTTGGGGTTTTTTGTCCTGCCCTTGCCCACTGCTCTCTGTACCATCTTGGCTGCAGGGAAGTTCAAATACATCAGAAAAGCCCATTTAAAAAAATGACAGAAAAAGAGAAAAGAGGAGAAAAGAGAAGAAAGAGAGGAGAGGAGAGGAGAGGAGAGGAGAGGAGAGGAGAGGAGAGGAGAGGAGAGGAGAGGAGAGGAGAGGAGAGGAGAGGAGAGGAGAGGAGAGGAGAGGAGAGGAGAGGAGAGGAGAGGAGAGGAGAGGAGAGGAGAGGAGAGGAGAGGAGAGGAGAGGAGAGGAGAGGAGAGGAGAGGAGAGGAGAGGAGAGGAGAGGAGAGGAGAGGAGAGGAGAGGAGAGGAGAGGAGAGGAGAGGAGAGGAGAGGAGAGGAGAGGAGAGGAGAGGAGAGGAGAGGAGAGGAGAGGAGAGGAGAGGAGAGGAGAGGAGAGGAGAGGAGAGGAGAGGAGAGGAGAGGAGAGGAGAGGAGAGGAGAGGAGAGGAGAGGAGAGGAGAGGAGAGGAGAGGAGAGGAGAGGAGAGGAGAGGAGAGGAGAGGAGAGGAGAGGAGAGGAGAGGAGAGGAGAGGAGAGGAGAGGAGAGGAGAGGAGAGGAGAGGAGAGGAGAGGAGAGGAGAGGAGAGGAGAGGAGAGGAGAGGAGAGGAGAGGAGAGGAGAGGAGAGGAGAGGAGAGGAGAGGAGAGGAGAGGAGAGGAGAGGAGAGGAGAGGAGAGGAGAGGAGAGGAGAGGAGAGGAGAGGAGAGGAGAGGAGAGGAGAGGAGAGGAGAGGAGAGGAGAGGAGAGGAGAGGAGAGGAGAGGAGAGGAGAGGAGAGGAGAGGAGAGGAGAGGAGAGGAGAGGAGAGGAGAGGAGAGGAGAGGAGAGGAGAGGAGAGGAGAGGAGAGGAGAGGAGAGGAGAGGAGAGGAGAGGAGAGGAGAGGAGAGGAGAGGAGAGGAGAGGAGAGGAGAGGAGAGGAGAGGAGAGGAGAGGAGAGGAGAGGAGAGGAGAGGAGAGGAGAGGAGAGGAGAGGAGAGGAGAGGAGAGGAGAGGAGAGGAGAGGAGAGGAGAGGAGAGGAGAGGAGAGGAGAGGAGAGGAGAGGAGAGGAGAGGAGAGGAGAGGAGAGGAGAGGAGAGGAGAGGAGAGGAGAGGAGAGGAGAGGAGAGGAGAGGA